TGATTCTCAACAATATTATCAAGTTTACACGAAGTTGAACCTGTTTGTTTTGCACGTATTGCAGCATAATATGTGTTTATCAAGTATTTCATAGCCAAAACAGTACATACATCACAAGTAACTCTTATTTTCATTATATTGATTCATACTTTGCACATTTACCGATTGTTCTATGTGCACAATAAACAAAATGGCGTATGTTCTTTGCAATATGACGTCATTGGTTCTAACTGATAGACGAATGACGTCATTGGTTCTAACTGATTGACGAATGACGTCATTGGTTCTAAGTGATGGACGAATGACGTCATTGGTTCTTAGTGATGGACGAATGACGTCATTGGTTCTAAGTGATGGACGAATGACGTCATTGGTTCTAAGTGATGGACGAATGACGTCATTGGTTCTAAGTGATGGACGAATGAGGTCATTGGTTCTAACTGATGGACGAATGAGGTCATTAGACATATTAGTGGACACATTTCACGTGGTGTAGGTGAAGGCGGGTGGTTCTTGATTCTTGATGCGCAGACTACAGTAATAGCGTTAACCATCTTGTTACCTGGCCGTCAGCTGGCTTTGTGTACCGATCGCTTCCACCACGATGTGGTTTCAAAATACATATGTACTGTACAAACAGTGTTTCCACTTATTTTCTGTATACATTGTAACCAAATTGTATAACTTTCAACTTCAGTCGCTCGTCTTTTAACAGTATCTTCTTTCTAGCAAATCCAAAACATACGTGCACTAGATCAAGCTAGCCATCCGTATATGCGCCTGTATTGCTACTTTTCTACATAAATCGTGCAATATAAGTCCCTCCTCTTCGACACAGAGGCATGTCTTTGCATGGCAGGTGATTGTTGCCCGAACACCTTTGACTTGTTGCCAGGAGATGATTCATATGATATGAAAGAAAGTTAAAAGGAGGGTTATTTGTAAGCTTTTGAATGTATCAAAAGTGATTAAAAGTTATCAGCTAGAACAATATGAATAGCTACAACCAGAGCTGAGACGCAGTTATTGACCATAAAGCATAGTTTTCAAACACTTTTGGATAATGTTATTTCATCAAATATTTTAGGAGTGTGAAGCTTTCATTGACCATATCATTGAAATTTATTTTTATTTCAATACTGTATTAAACATTTGACACCAAATGAATTGTTTGGTTTTTATATCAGTACAAATTTAGTTATCCACTATGTATATGTAGTAAAACTACAATTGCGGCCATTTTGGCAGCCATTTTGAATTTTCGGTAATATGTAAAAAATCCTAATAACATGCCGTCACTCTAGAAGTAAAGAGGAAACAAAACGAACTTATTTTAGTTACAAAACTAATGTTAACTTGTTAGTATGTTAATAAATATATCTCCACCACACATTTCCATGAAAAGTCGGAGTAACGCTAAAATACCCCTGTCTGAAAGAATAAGCTGTAAAACATTACATTACCACGATATGACCATACAAAACCACTTGTTTTGTGCCATCAGTCTAGAAGAGACAAGTGTCCAAAATCATCAAAAGTATCAACTTTGGATGTAAATGGATACATTCGGTGTTTATTTTTATGTAAATTTCAGCGCTGAGAAGACAAAACACGACAGAACAAAATGGCGACCACAATGACGGCCATATTTTTTTTTTTTTCAAAAACAAATATATGTCAAATGATTTCCTCATCCTTTAACAACACACAGAAGTCAAAATAAAAGTGATCAGATAGATAGTAGTAAAACTATCCATGATTAACTTTGAAGTGTTGTCGGGCAGCAAACCAAATGTGACGAAAATGCTCGGAGACCCCCACTACATATAATGGCCTGTCAAAAAACCTGATACCACAATCTGCGAGTATTACAGGCTTTTTCATGAGCCCAAGACATCATACTAACTGAAAATAGTGTCCAACAAAATCAGTACTGGGGAGGCTACGAAATCCTATTTAGAGATAACATTTATCGAGAAACTTCTAGTACGCAGTCTAAATGATGTTTAAAATGTCGTGTACGTTTCATATTCAGGGTTTTATGTCCCATTCCGTTGCAAAGAGCTCAACCGTACCTCCGTGGAAAGCGTTCTTGGAGACGTTGGCACCGGATTAAACATCACATACCATGAATGTGACATCACCATTATAACAAACATGTCGGACCACTTGGAAAGCAAGGGACTGACCTGCATTGAGGGTTATGAATATGAACAAGCAAGAGAATTATCTCTTGTGTCAGAGGTAAAATTATTAATGAAGAAAGTTTCAATTTTATCTTTGCAGATTAAGGCAGCATTTTATTTTTGTGTTTCTCATCGCCTGACCGAACCTTCTAATTTAATTGCCGAGCCCCCAAAAGATTTTTTTCATTCCGACACCGCCGACTCGAACGTAAAACGTACCGGCTCGTCATATAAAACGTATATTTGTAATCAGTCGCTGCCACAGCCAAAGAACGCGAGAAATTGTAATAAGAATTACAATAAATGAGAATCAAGAATATTATTCAGATAATTTGGTCTTTATTAAAAAATACCCTACCGACCGATCCATGTTCAGAACTTGGTGGCTACGTGAAACACATAGCAAAAAAATGATGCCCTTACGTTTGACACAATGTTATAGATACAGTGTTTGGTTTGCATATGAGCTAGTTTATATCTTAGGCTCAGTATTATTCGTTTCAATGATATGAAGTGTAACGAATAATACTGAGCCTAAGTTTAATTAGACTGGATTATGAGCAGACGAATTATTTAATTGTTAAAATGAATGCTGAATGTACATATGTCTAAAATTGATATACTTTCTAAACCGGAAGGTATATTCGAAAATAACAGATGATTACAGAAACACACAAAGAGACGTCGAATGTTGGTAAGTTGAGCATAAGAAGCAAGAATGACTAGGTGCAGCATGGCGGCATAGTTTAAGGTTGCAAAAATACAATTAAGTCAATATATATCTTTTGGCTCTAAAACCAAGGACCGTCTCCGTGGTGTAGTGGTTAGAGCGATCGCCCGGAGAGCGGAAGGTCGCGGGTTCGATCCCCAACGTTAAAATATGGTACTTGTTGGGCCCTGCCTGGCGCTCGGCATTAATGGGTACAACAAGGACTTGTCGACTCGGAGTCAGTATAATGTGTCTGAGTGGGGTATTCATGCTTCACTGCGGCATGGTATCTCAGTGGGCTAGCACTATAAAACCAGCTTAAGTCTGGGCTAGTACAAGCAGCCGCACATACACATACACACGCATGCACGTCGTCATATGAGCGAAATATTCTCAAGCACGACGTTAAACCCAATTTCACCTCACCTCACCTATAGTCAAGATCTAGACCCGTGAAGGTCCAGGTCAGAATGAACCTTCAGTAACCCATGCTTGTTGTAAGAGGCGACTAACGGGATCGGGTGGTCAGGCTCGCTGGCTTGGTTGGCACATGTCATCGGTTCCCAATTGCGCAGATCAATGCTCATGCTGTTGGTCACATTATTTACAGACCGCCGTCATATAGCTGGAACATTGCTGTGTGCGGCGTAAAACTAAACTCACTCACTCTATAGTCAAGAAATGTCCGGATGTGGCGATCATCACCGGGCGTTGTCACACGTGGTCGATCACTCCTAGGCCTGTCTGACGTATTGCCTGTTTGTCTTAGTCGTTGCATCAGACTGATCAGTCTCATGACAGGTGCACGGGTGCAGCCTATTTTCTGGCAATGACGATTTGCCTCAAACGTGGCATATATTTTTATGTTCCTTTTACTTCTGTGTTTCTCACGTGTAGCGGAGGCTGTTTTATACCGTCAGTATGCACGTGCTTTTCGTGTTATATCAGAAAATGTCGATTTGGATTTCTTGTGACGTGTAGGCGTTAACTTGTTTCGCAGTTTGTTCCCGCAAAAGATGTGTCTGTATGTGGGAGACATGGCTCACTGTGGTTTTATCACTTCATTTTCATTTTGTGATGGCGGTGGGGTAGCCTAGTGGTTAAAGCGTTGGCTCGTCACGCCGAAGACCCGGGTTCGAATCCCACATGGGTACAATGTGTGAAGCCCATTTCTGGTGTCCCCGCCGTAATATTGCTGGAATATTGCTAAAAGCGGCGTAAAACCAAACTCAGTCAGTCAGTCAGTATGTTTTGTGAATTTTATGTAATATACTGAGAGAAAAATAAATGATCACAAAGAGAATACAAGCGTTCCTTTAATAGTTTCCCTTTTTCATCACCAGCTTTGAATAGCGCTGTGGTGATGAAAACTGGAAAATAATCAAAGAACGCTTGAATTTTCCTATGATCCTTTATTCGTTTCTCTCAGTATGTTTTGCGGTGTATAGTTAATTTTGAGTATCTTCTTATAATAGACAAAACTGTAGTTTATTACACTATTCATTGTAGAACGACCTGTATTTCTCAAATCAAAATACAGATTCTTTATAGTTTGAAATAATACCTCTTCCTGAGTGGGTACTAAAAAGTACTCGTTGATGGAAATGATATGATTAAGTTGACATCCAAACAAAATAGTGAGTGAGTGAGTTTGGTTTTACGCCGCTTTTAAGCAATATTCCAGCAATATTACGGCGGGGACACCAGAAATGAGCTTCACACATTGTACCCATGTGGGGAATCGAACCCGGGTCTTCGGCGTGACGAGCGGACGCTTTAACCACTAGGCTACCCCACGGCCCCTCCAAACAAAATAACATCCCTAGGTGTTCAGTCTGTATAGATCTGTAATAATTCTGAAACCGCACATACTTTTCTAGACGTTGTGGTAGTAGGAGGAGGAGAAGTAGAGGTTGTAGTTGTAGTAGTAGTGATGGTGGTGGTGGTGGTGGTGGTGGTGGTGGTAGAAGTAGTATAAGCAGCACTTTCAAACTTCGCAAATCTTGTATTGTGGTGTAATCATGCGTGTTGTTTATTCCACAGTGGGACCTGGTCTGTGAAAAGGAAGCCCTGGTGATCTGCTCCAAACATTCTATATGCTTGGTATGGGTGTGGGGGCCATTGTGTTCTCAGCCCTAGCTGATATGTATGGGCGCAAGTTCTCCGCTGTCACGGCCGGTATCATATCCTTAGCAGTTGGCGTTGGCATGTCTTTTGTTCCTCAATATGCTGCCTTCGCTGCCATGAAGATGCTGCAAGCAGCAGCACTGATGGTAACATATCTACAGGAAACGGGCACCTAGTTTCCCTCTTTTGATACTCTCATACCCTATAAGACCAAAGTTAAACCGGCCAACATTCCTATGGCATCTCACCATACAGTTCTTTGTTGCTACACCAAACCCTAGGTTGTTACCCGGCCATTACATTCACAGTGTCACTCCTCACTTGACAAATTCAACCACATCTTCACTCACTCGTACCCTACGTCTACATCTTCACCATGCCCATATCTTCACTCACTTGTCTACCGCCTACCGTGGTTAGAGCGTCTGCCCTGAGAGCGGAATGTCGCGGGTTCTATACCCGACCGCGTCATACCAAAAGACGTTAAAATATGGTACTTGTTGGTCCCTGCCTGGCGCTCGGCAATAATGGGTACAACAAGGACTGGTCGACTCGGAGTCAGTATAATGTGTCTGAGTGGGGTATTCATGTTTCACTGCGGCATGGTATCTCAGTGGGCTAGCACTATAAAACCAGCTTCAGTCACATGCACGTCGTCATATGAGCGAAATATTCTCAAGCACGACGTTAAACCCTATTTCACCTCACCTCACCTCACTCACTTTTCTGATACACCCACATATTCACTTGTCCTATACACCCACATACTCCAATACAAAGAGCTGAACGCCTGGGACCTGTATTACTTCCTCCCACACGTCGTGATGTAACAACAGGACAACCTGCTGCAAGCAGAGTTAAAACCCAACTCACACTCTCATTTTGGATTAATTAGAAAAATCAAATTTCTTACACCTAAGAGACCCTTCATAATTTATGGCTAGGAGGGGTGATGATAATTTGTATGTAAAAGCATTTAGTGACAAGTGACAAGTTTATTAGTATTTGGGGCCACGTGACCCTTATTACTAATACATAATAATTGCACACAGTGCACATACCGGTATATCATTCATTCAAAAATAAAATCAAATTGGTAAGTTTTTTTCAAATACAACGACAAAGATTTGATAAGTTTTGTATCAGTGGATGCTAGCAGCTGATACATTTTTGAAGCAGAATTCTTATAATAATATTCAGGTAAAAACAGTTGTCTGCTTATCTTATAGTAAGGGCAAATAAAGAAAAAGTGAAATTCGTTTTCAATACAGCTCAGGAGACATTTGGTACATAGTCACGCATTTGGGTTATCATAACATTTAAATCTATCTAATTGAACTTTCAATTTATGAGATGCACATCGAAACTTACAATATACCTTCAACAGGTCGGGAAACAATTCAAGAATATACTTTCAACATCTGAAACAGATTTAAAACCATTGTAATGTTTTAGAAATGATGACCCTGAGATCTTACAATGCCAATTTTGGAATTGTATGTCTCTACATCTTTGTGAAAACAAATTCATGAAAACATTAATACTACCGCAATCTTGAGTGAACCATACGTACGAAAAGCCAGTTTCAAACAATAATACTAGTATTCGAAACCCAACATACTTTGTCCTGTTCATCAAAATGTTTCAGCATTTCATAACTAGCCCTGGGATACCTTGATCTATCCATTCGAATAAATCTGCACCAGTATCTAATACAACGACTATAATAATTAACACACAAATAACTTCTGCATTGCATTGCTGAATTGCATTCTGAATTGCATTGCTTCATGTTCTTCTGGAGACCCCAAGACACTTCTTTAAAAAATCAGTTTGAACCTTTTCTGTTGGCTGCCTGAATGTATGGCCCCATATCCCTGAGCCGTATAAGAGGATTGGAGAAACTTTTGAATCAAATATTTTAGTTACAGAATGGAATGGTAACGAGGGGAGATATGTCATTAATCTGTAAACAGGAAACAGCGCCTGAATAGCCAGAGTTTCAAACGCTGGACCAAATCAATCTTAAGGGAAAAAGGGAGTCCTAAATATTTATAATACGAAACACACTTCAATTCTGTACCAGCATAAGACCACCGCTCTGTCTTTTTTAACAGGCCACAATTTCTAAATGTTACTACATTTGAGTTATCCAAATTTACTTCAAAGTCAAATTTAATAGAAGCTTTCTCAAGAAAGTCTAATTTCCTTTGTAATCTTAAAATTGTATCATCGACCAAAGCAAGATCATCGGCAAATAAAAGTAACACAATTTCCTTCAAGTTTTCTTGGACAAATATCCCCCTCAACTCGCTCTGTTCAAATTCTGCCACTAGCTCGTTAATAAAGAGGATAAAGAGAACTGGGCTTAACATGCATCCCTGTCGAACACCACAGAAGTACTAAAATATCTGTTCTACCTTCTTCGCCTTGACACAAGCCTTGACCTTTGAGTACATATCGTGAAGGACATTAAATAATTTGCCCCCTATACCCCTTTCATGAAGAACATACATAAGCTTTTGTCGATATACTAAATCAAAGGCTTGTGGAAGTCGATGAAGGCTACATAAAAACGATGTGTCGGTTTCCTCAAATATTTCTGACATAGTGCCTGTAAAGTAAATATGTTATCAACTGCAGAATAATTACTTCTATAGCCAGCCAGCGATTCATAAATAATACCATTTATTTCGATCCACTTCCTGATTCTATCTTCCACTATTGAAGTAAAAACTTTTCCTAAAATATTTAAAAGAGATATGCCACGATAATTATTAGGATCCGAAGCTGCTCCCTTTTTAAATATAGTGACAACCATACCAATATTCCAACTATCTGGGAAAACCCCACTATCCAAAACTGAATTTAAATAAAATTTCAAAATATGGAACAAAGACTACTGCCTTTTTGACGAACTCAGGAGAGATGCCATCTACGCCAGCAGATCTACCATTTTTAAGTTAGAGCTTTCATAATCTCGCCTTGTCAGATAATAAAAAGGTATTATCACAACTAACACAGCACTCAATGTTATGATTGGTTATGAAGTTTACAACAGATTCATTGTGAACAAAATGGTATCCCCCCCCCCCTTAAAGCTTAAAGCCGTCATCACACACACACATGCACACACACACACACACACATACGTGTATCCATTGGCCTTTATGCTTTACAGTGTATACTCTAGAACAGGACCTTCTGTTTTCCTTCCTTCCTGATCACTGTAATACTTTCAAACCATCCACCTTACCTCCTCTAAATTCTACTACGCTCGAGTTTCATGAAAAAAACGCACACGATTATTGCAGGGTCTCAGTATTACAGCGACATCCCTCAGTCTGGAGCTTGTCCCAACTAAACAGAGGTCTACCATCTCTGTAGTATGCAATGGGGTCTGGTCGGTCTCCATAGTGCTGTATGCTGTATTTGCCTACCTCACCAGGGACGTAAGCTGGAGGATTCATCAGTTAGCAGTGGGACTCTCGGCCTCTTACTTTGTATTTCTACCCTGGTAAGTATATCTTGCCTTGGTTTCTTTCGTAGCATTGCGTTTCAGCAATTGACCATTTTTAGTGTTGCTCTATCTAAAAATTAACCCCCAAAGAGAGTGAGTGAGTTTAGTTTTACGCCGCTCTTAGCAATATTCCAGCAATATCACGGCGGGGGACACAAGAAATGGGCTTCACACATTGTGCCCATGTGGGGAATCGAACCCGGGTCTTGGCGTGACGAGAGGACGCTTTGACCACTAGGCTACCCCACCGCCCCGATTGTTGCTGATTGAAGACAAATTGATCTGATCGTAGCTGATGTCAAGATTGGTATTCAGTTGCTTTGGCGTTAACGGCACTTGGAAGGGTGTTAAGTTCCACCACTGCTTGTCAGCACGATCTTGGAGGGAACCTTGGTGCAGGTCTCAGACGTTTAGCAGTTTGGTGCAACCAGGAGCACGGGTATGCAGCTGACAAACCAAGAAAGAAAATACAGGTCAAAACGGGATTCGTCGTCATAGGTTCATGGCGAGCAGAATAGACTCAACTGCAAACCAAAACATGAGTCTCATTAACCATTTCAGACAATGATCTACTTTTCAGCCGATCCGAATTTTCTCGTGTGAAAGTGAAAAGAGACACTACAAACAACTGTGGTTACACTAAATTCCAATTCCTTGTTTCATAATAAATGGTATTTACAAATTAATTTTAATTCTAAAGTTTAAAAATATCGCATTTCTATATTTTATGTCGAGGTTTAGGCAGCATGTAACAGACTGCCCCTGTTTGAAGAGGTCGTACAATGATTCACAATTCACCTGGCTTACTGGTTACACCTGTTATGTGTTCTTTCCGCTTAGTTTATGTATTTTTGTAACGTACAATGTGATTGATATAATATCAAGTTCGTACCAGACCGCCAAACTTTTCTAGCGGCCGAGCCTCGTTTTGAGATTTCCACGATTTCCAGATTTCCTTTTGTCAGAGCACGCTGCACGACGTGTTTGCAAGGATTAGGAGCGGAGTACTGCAAGTGATTAGATGTATCAAATAATACTGATTAATATTTATGTATCCAGTTGAATGATTTGGTCTCAAAATTCTGGACTGGTTGTTGTACTAAGCTGCGCAGTAGGACGGAACCCAGTCAGCAGGAAACGAGACTGTTATGTAACTATTGTTTTGGCTTGGTACAATGAGTGAGTGGGTTTAGGTTTACGTCGCACTCAGCAATATTCCAGCTATATGGCGGCGGTCTGTAAATAATCGAGTCTGGACCAGACAATCCATTGATCAAAAGCAGGAGCATCGATCTACGCAATTGGGATACGATGATATGTGTCAACCAAACCAGCGAGCCTGACCACCCGATCATGTTAGTCGACTCTTACGACAAGCATGGGTTACTGAAGATCAATTCACCGGTCCGCACGTATGACTGTATGCAGCTGACAATTCAAGAAAGAAAATCCAAAACGGGATTCGAACCTGTCGTCATAGGTTCCTGGAGTGCCCAATAAACTCCAGTCTGTACTGCGAATTGACGACTTGGCCGGCCGTACAACTGTGGAGTTTGACTTCAAGATTTAAATCTGGTTTGTCTAATCCTGTCTGATAACAGGGGGGTTGGCATACTGACAATTACAATTTTACCTTGCTATTTCAGAATCTTCCATTCTGATTTGTCCTCAAATCGACGTCAGGGCCAGTATTTTCTTGTTGGCAAAAACCTCGGTTACTTTAGATAGTTTAAACAATTCTAATGTCAATAACATATAACCAAAACACATATATATATATATAATGGTATCTCGCTGATCAATACAGGACGCAGTATGACTGTTATTGACCGAGTGTAGTGATTTGCGGAAGATATTATAAACATTTTAAGGGTAGACAAGGTGAGGAATTATATCAAATAGACAGATTTATATGATGTCGTTGCATAACAATGAGTATTGATCGGTTAGTTTCTGAGGCGCTGGTATTCACTGCGTCTTTCTCATTCCAAACTCTATTATAGTGGGTTCCAATCCAACCTTCGATCCCAACACCTGATGAGTTGTAAACATCTATGATATATATTGGATGGACTAACATTTAGACACAGAAAGTAATGCTTCGCATTTATAAGCATATATCTATAAAATGCAAAATGAGTGAGTGAGTGAGTTTAGTTTTACGCCACACTCAGCAATAGTCCAGCTATATGGCGGCGGTCTGTAAATAATCGAGTCTGGACCAGACAAGCCAGTGATCAACACCATGAACATCGATCTGTGCAATTGGGAACCGATGACATGTTTCAACCAAGTCAGCGAACCTGACCACCCGATCCCGTTAGTCGCCTCTTACGACAAGCATAGTCGCCTTTTGTGGCAAGCATGGGTTGCTGAAGACCTATTCTACTCCGGATCTTCACGGGTCAAATACAAAATGAAATCCAAAGGAGTCCTGAATAGTGCTAAGGCAAAACTGAATCTGGGAAAATCTAGACCCATCACATCTTTCATGACATTAGCTGGATTAATTTCTTGACTCATTCTCAATGACCGGGTTATCCTCTCATTTTCAGTATACATGTGTGTTAGCGATGCAATTCTGTTCAACGCGTTTTTAACCCAGACTACTCCCTCATCATTCACTGTTCTTTGCTACAGGATATTGGACGAAAGCAACAGGTGGCTAGCAGCAAAAAGGAAATACCATCTCATCGAGCGCAATTTGAAGAAGGCTTGCCGCATTAACCGTGTGGATGAGAATGTTATCATAGCTCTCTTCAGAGAGAAAGTGATGCCGCACAATGTACAGGAACATCACTCACTCCTTGATAAAGACTCCAACCGTGGTCTTGACAAGTCTGCAAACAACGGAAACATTCAATGTGAAAGAACGGAAGAGAAGCTAATTCTGCAGATCTTCAAGGATAGACAGCTACTTCTGGTGTCCGCGATCACGTGGTTTATGTGGTAGGCTACTAATCAGTCATTTTATTTTGGGGATGAAGTTGGGTTTTCGAGGGGTATACTTTTATCTGTGAAATACAAGCGACAAACACCATTTCAGAATCACGAGAAAGTTCTGCTAAAAGCAGAATCCCTTGCACTATTTTGACTCTATATGAATCGCTATCAAGTAATGATGATACCAGATCCTCGCAACAAGTTCAGTGTCCTAACAACAACACCTGGGGACGAAACGGTGTCCCTTTGGCTGAATCCCTCTACAAGTATACACAGTGAGTGAGTGAGTTTAGTTTTACGCCACTCTCAGTAATATTTCAGCAATATGGCGGCGGTCTGTAAATAATCGACCAGACAATCCAGCGATCAACAGCATGAGCATCGATCTACGCAATTGGGAACCTATGACATGTGTCAACACAGTCAGCGAGCCGCAATGATATCTGACGTAACCACAGCATTATTTATGTGCATTTAATTATATATATTTATTATGTAAATTATATACATATTTGATTTTTAAATGTATTTTCATATTTTATGCTATATGTTATATACCTCAGCATTAATTATGTTTATATTATGATATTCATATTATGGCATTTATATTAATTATTTCTATCTATATGTATTTATCTTTTATGTTATGTTTCATATGTATTATTTGATGTCACCTCACCATTATTATTGACAAATTGCTGTATACATAAGGGGTACATTGGGCCGTGCCTTGTAAGAGTTATGCCCCGTGGTAGTACAAGGATTTTGTGTTGGATTTTCTGATCCATCACATCCTGTGGATTTCAAATCAGTGATGACGTCTACGACTGGCATTCCTTCGCATTACGCCAATCGGTCATAGTATAACAGAAATATTGTCAACCATTCTGCATTATTCAGAAATTGAATATTTTCACGAAACCGCGTAGATATTCGGAAACACTTTCTTTGCATTGACTCATATGGAGAGGTCTGTTCACCATCTTAAAATGTTTTGAACAGTGTTTCTGTCATATCACGAAAACTCTTGCTTTAAAGGGAGCCAACCCAGTAAGAATGTAAGCAACCTCCACTGGTTGTAAGTTATTTACATTTTACGGCGCTTTAAACATTATTGTCAGCTTAGTTTAGGAGGAAAGGGGCGTAACTCGCACAGCAACGGACAGCGTGAGGACTGTGGCGGCTGACCACATTGAAATGAATTAAGTAAAGATCTTTTGGATGTTGGATTTTCATGGATACCTGCTCATGTTGGACTACTTGGAAATGGGAAGACTGATAAATTGACGAAAGCTGCATTAGACTTTGATGGATCAGAACAGGATGAGACGATATTGGCCTCTCCTGCAGAATTAAGCACCGTCAGTAAGATCCATGCTCATACGAAAAGGCAACAGATGGACTTCATTCTTAAAAGAACGCCATCTCTATGCCATCGAGCATTTTGTGACTAAATCAAAATTGTCTCAAAACAATCGTACAGAAGAGGCTCTTTTAACCAGACGTTGTCTTGAGCATTGTGGTCTTGGTGCATGTCTTAATATTAGTAATAGAGATGTCCTAATATTAGTAATAGAGATATTTCTGCAAATTGTACAGTGTGTAATCAGCTAGATAATGTGGCTCATTATTTACTGCATTGCAAAAAATATGTAAATCAACCTACTTGGCGATGGCGGAATCTCTTACAGCTCTCAATATTTACATCTCATTGGCTGGACTATCGTGCTTAAGGAACACCGTTCGCCATGAAGTTCAGAATATCATTCTTAATTATATTAAAGCGTGTGGCAGATTTACTACATTATAAAGGTTTAGAAAATTAGCAAACCTTTATGAAGGGCAAGGTGTAAATGGGCCTAGTTGTTCGAACACCTATTAATTTTTTATTAATCAATTATCAATCATCAATAACGGCGAAAGGTAGGTAAGGCTTGGTGATTTGTTGATTGCATGCCATCATGCCCGAACTGCGTAGATTGTTCCTCCAACTATCACTCATAATTCCCCCTTGTGTTGCTGGAATAGTGCTCTGTTCGACGTTAACCAAACACACAAAATGAATGTGTTTCGTATTATTTCTCTGTTTTGTTTTTGAGGTTAACTGACAGCCTCACTTACTATGGACTTTATCTCAACTCCACAACCTTCCACAGTGACAAATACATCGGTTTCGGCTTGAACTGCATCACGGATGTTTTAAGCGTAATCGCGTTTTGGCTCACAGTTGACCGGTAATGATATGGTTCACTCTCAATCTCAATAAATCGCTTCTTATACCATCAATGTACATGTATCTCACTTTTCATACAAATTTCACTAAACTTACTAATTGAGCATTTTGTTGAAACAAATTATGGCTCATCAGTAAGCCAAATCCCACTCTGGCTATGTGAGAGACCTGTTTTGACATAATCTGGCAAAGTGAGAAGACACCAATGATATGCAGTGTGTACATATAGAAAACAGTGGACACATGGCCATGTAGGTGTCGTTAGACTGTGTTTGTTGTTTGACGCCGTATTCAGCATTATAGCTAAAATAAATGGAATTACATGTATCATAAAACGGCCCTCCCATTATCAAAAATTTGCGGGCCGCTGCAAATGATATTGGACCGCTCAACCTTAACGACGGGCCACTATCAGTTCTGACTGACTGACTGACTGACTGAGTTTGGTTTTACGCCGCTTTTAGCAATATTCCAGCAACATCACGGCGGGGCACACCAGAAATGGGCTTCACACATTGTGCCCATGTGGGGATTCGAACCCGGGTCTTCGGCGTGACGAGCCAACGCTTTAACCATTAGGCTACCCCACCACCCCTATCAGTTCTGTTGTCAAGTGATGTCATAGTGGGTGCGTGGGCTTACGGTTCATTCGACATTGGCTTTGGACTGGCAGATATTCTGGGTCAAACAAGTCAAAGGAACCCGAATTCCCGCTTTAAATAGCGGTAATATTGGCTTTCTTGTTGGTGCTAACCTCAACAATTTCACTATTAACGTTGTTGTTGGACCAAAACCGAACACTGACATAGTTTGACATGTTGCAGGCTATGGTCTTGTCAACGGCCAAGGTCGAATATCGTCACCTTCTGTCGTGACGTCACTTGAATTGTTCGATGACGTAATTGCATTCGGGCAGTCAACCCCGTCAGAAGTTGGATTTGAGTAAACTTACAGTCAAATTCCTTCATTGTTTCCTTTTGTCTTTTCAACACAAATTCCATGAATTTTAGCAATAATAACGGTGGTGCTATTTTTGAGGGCATTATCATTTGCAGAAGCCCTCGGGCTTTTTTCAACTGCCCTCCTTCGTCGGGCAATTAATGGAAGACCTCGGGCTTCTGCAAATGTTAATGCCCTCAAAAATAGCATTACCCTCATATTATTCCAGCTATATGACGGCGGTTTGTAAATAATCGAGTCTGGTTCAGACAATCCAGTGATCGACATCACGAGCATCGAACTGTGCAATTCTGATATGATGATGTCGTAGCTGATGTCAAGTCAAGTCAAGTCAAGTCAAGTATTTTTATTCTGTATGTAGGCCACAGGCCCATATACAACATACATACATTTATTTACAAATATAGATACACTTTAAAGGGCATACATATCAATAATACACGTGTTATTTGTTCAAATAGATTTCTCGTCAGTATAAATATAATATTTAATATAAACATATATACACACCTTTATAAACATTTAAAATGGAAAAATGTGTGGTTTAAAGAAAATTTATTGGAGTTTGATTGCTCTGATTTTATAAGCATGAATGTAGCTGATGTCAAGATTGGTATTCAGTTCCTTTTGCGTTAACGGCACTTTGAAGGGTGTTAAGTTCCACCACTGCTTGTCAGCACGACGTTGGAGGGAACCTTGGTGCAGGTCTCAGACGTTTAGCAGTTTGGTGCAACCAGGAGCACGGGTATGCAGCTGACAAACAAAGAAGAAAATAAGGCCAAAACGGGATTCGTCGTCATAAGTTCCTGATTTGCAGAATAGACTCAATTCTGTTCAGTGAGTGAGTTTAGTTTTACGTTGCCCTCAGCAATATTCCAGCTATATGGCGGCGGTCTGTAAATAATCGAATCTGGACCAGACAATCCAGTGATCAACAGCAGAAGCATCGATCTACGCAATTGGGATACAAGTTAGCGAGCCTGACCACCCTATCACGTTAGTCGCCTCTTACAAAAAGTATGAGCTGCTGAAGACCAGTTATAACCTACAATTTTACGGGTCGCTCTCATCAATGGCAATCTGTTTGATAAAGTGTTGGGTTTGTTTTTTTCTCAGATTTGGAAGGAAGCGGACATGCCAGGCCTTTCATCTAATAGCAGGCTTATCGTTGATAGCCTCAGTGCTGTTTGACAACTTGAAAGGTAGGTTAGGAACCGTTCATAATTTATAGCTAGGGGGTGATCGGTGGGTGGGGTGATGATGCCTTGTTCTAGGGAGGTAGTGGGGGTCATGATTCCTGTTGCTATTCCATGGTTCCTGTACTGGAGTACCGCCTCTCTATGTACAGTCACACATATTCAGTATACTTTGAACTAATGAAAATAACTTTGAAACTGACGTTTCCCTTGGGAAATTGTGTTTCTACACCAATGCTTTCACAAACAATTCAATGTAATTTATATCAGAATTCAGAATCACTGAAACGGGTCGGCTTATCTATGAGATCGGCTTATCTACGGTAATGTACTACTTAAGTGGTATCGGGATATGTCGTCTCTTGTGGCGATACATGGATGTATCATGGACCCTGGAGATATGAATATTGCCTAAATGTGCTCTGTATCGATGCACCCGTATCACGTAGCTGACGATGCAAACATCGATGAATCGTTACAAACCTACTCACTGCACTATTCCTCGTTGTACAGGTGCATCATACACTGCAATAACGTATCTTTATTTTACTAATGTACCACTCTGCTAAGTCACTGTTCTACCGTGTAATGATGTTAACATCTCATCGCAGTACCACTGCCTTCCCTTTTAGCTCTACCACTGCATTCCTTTACTCTACTGCCGCCTCGCCTCAGACCCTGCTACAGCTTTCTTCACGTTTAACATGTTATATTTGGGATTACACTTTCTCTGTAAAGTACGGATTCTAGTACTTTTGTTCGGGATTGGAACCCACACAAAGTCAGCAGTCTAACCCACTCAGCCATCGACCTTCCACAAAAATGGAAGTCGGACAACTTGCAATGTAGACCACAGACTTTGTGTATCCCTCTGATAAGTGTCAATTGGCACGGCTTCCACGGCCGAAAGCTATGAATACACAATGTGTTTTCATAGTTTTCTTCTCTACCACCGCCTCGCCCCACTCTACCGCAACTCCCGTCGCAGTACCCCCGATTTCCTCGCTTCACTCAGACTCTCACTCTACCACCGAATACCTTACTCTGTCGCGGCTTCTCTCACTCTGCCACCGAATACCTTACTCTGTCGCGGCTTATCTCACTCTACCACCGAATACTTCACTCTGTCACGGCTTATCTCACTTTACCACCGAATACCTTACTCTGTCGCGGTTTATCTCACTCTGCCACCGAATACTTTACTCTGTCGCGGCTCATCTCACTCTACCACCGAATACTTCACTCTGTCGCGACTTTTATCACTCTACCACCGAATACTTCACTCTGTCGCGGCTTATATCACTCTACCACCGAATACTTCACTCTATCGCGACTTATATCACTCTACCACTGAATACTTCACTCTGTTGCGGCTTATCTCACTCTACCACTGAATACTTCACTCTGTCGCGACTTATATCACTCTACCACCGAATACTTCACTCTGTCGCGGCTTATATCACTCTACCACCGAATACTTCACTCTATCGCGACTTATATCACTCTACCACCGAATACTTCACTCTGTTGCGGCTTCTCTCACTCTACCACCGAATACTTCACTGTGTCGTGACTTATATCTGTCGCGACTACTTCACCTGTCCGAATACTCTACCGCCGAATACTTCACTCTGTCGCGACTTATATCACTCTACCACCGAATACTTCACTGTGTCGTGTCTTCTCTCACTCTACCACCGAGTACCTTACTCTGTCGTGGCTTCTCTCACTCTACTACCGAATACTTCACTGTGTCGCAGCTTATCTCACTCTACCACCGAATACCTATTCTGTCGTGGCTTCTCTCACTCTACCAGCGAATACTTCACTCTGTTGCGGCTTCTCTCACTCTACCACCGAATATCTTACCCTGTCGCGGCTTCTCTCACTCTACCACTGAATACTTCACTCTGTCGTGGCTTATCTCACTCTACCACTGAATACCTTACCCTGTCGCAGCTTATCTCACTCTACCACCGAATATCTTACCCTGTCGCGGTTTCTCTCACTCTACCACTGAATGCTTCACTGTGTCGCGGCTTATCTCACTCTACCACTGAATACTTTACTCTGTCGCGGCTTATCTCACTCTACCACTAAATACTTTACTCTGTCGCGGCTTATCTCACTCTACCACCGAATACCTTACCCTGTCGCGGCTTATCTCACTCTACCACCGAATACTTCACTCTGTTGCGGCTTCTCTCACTCTACCACTGAATACTTTACTCTGTCGCGGCTTATCTCACTCAACCACCGAATACTTTACTCTGTCGCGGCTTATCTCCCTCTACCACCAAATGCCTTACTCTGTCGTGGCCTATGTCCCTCTACCACCGAATACCTTACCCTGCCGTGGTTTATCTCACTCTACCACCGATTACTTTACTCTGTCGCGACTTCTCTCACTCTACCACCGAATACTTTACTCTGTCGCGGCTTCTCTCACTCTACCACCGAATACTTTACTCTGTCGCGGCTTCTCTCACTCTACAACCGAATACCTGTACTGTGCCACGGCTTCTCTCAATCTCCGAAAATCAGTACCCTTCCACAGCTTCCTGCACTCAACTACCGATTCTAGCACTCTACCACACCCTCTCCTCACGCTCAGTAAAATTAGTATGGGAGTGAAATGACACTGCAATGATTGAACACTACCATAATAGCTCTACTGTGGTACATTATAAGGGCTGATGTACCCTCGATGTTTGTTTATCGAGGGTACATCAATCCATTGGTCCCGAGGGACCAGTGAACAAAGTATTTATCTCTCCCAACACCTCAATTGTAATTTTGAACTGTTTGAAGCATGGATCATAGTATGGAGTGCAAGGCGACAAGACAAGAAAAACAAATTTAGAGTTATCTCCCTTCCATCGAATTTCCTTCGCAAAACATTGGTAATTTCCGCTCATCATACGTGATTCAATGTTATTCGAGATAAAGAATTACTACTACGAAGTACCAAATTAGTTCGGCATTCCCAGCGGGGCACATGGAAAATGTTACTCGCTTGATAGCGGGGTACATTGAAAATAATAGAAGAGCGCTGAGCCAATCAGAAAACGACATTAATGTGTGAGGCAAGATAACAGAACAGGTATGATCCACTCATTATATGTTTCATATACAGTAAACTCCGTTTTAACGAACTGACGGATATAACGAACTGTGTTAAAGGCACAGGGCCCCGTTCCTCAAAGCGATCGTAGCGCTACGACAGTCGTAAATCTATGTTAAAGTATGGGTTGCGATCATCTTAGGGCTAACGATCGCTTTGGGGAACAGGGCCCTGACCACTTCTATATATTTTCTACGTATTTTGACCATGTTTTGAACGAACTACGGTTATAACGAACTAAACTTAATGGTCCCTTTGAGTTCGTTATAACCGTAGTATTCTGTATCCTCCCTACTGGTGTTTCAGGTGCAGTGCCTTCCTTCACTGTAGCGGTGACAACATTTTCTTTGATAGGAAAATTTGCAATAGCGACTTCATATAACATCATATGGTTGTATACCCCTGAAATCTTCCCAACAAACATAAGGTAAGCCAATACGGCTATATAATCCATGATATGTGCTTTGATAATGTTACACAGAACAAAAATCGTAAACGCAACGAAATGCGACATTTAAAATAATTCGCATTTTATCTTTACATTTACTGGTAATTACCATTGGGAGGTTTCTTACATGCTCAAACGAAATCATGTTATTATTGTGTTTAACGAGCTCTGTTTATGTTCAGCACAATACACGTTTACCTACGTAAAGTTAGCTGCTGACTATAGTGATCGCCACAAAAACAAACAATGTCGTCCGAGAACGTACGTATACCTCACACAGGGCGAATAAACATTTACTTATATTTTCTTAACTTATATTTGAAAACTGAAGGAAATCTGGGGGACAAAATGGATAGGGGAGTTAGGCTGGGTGACATTGTTGATTGCATGCCATGGTAGCCGGGTGGATCGATGTCAATGACATCCATCACCGAATATTCTGGTCCAGACTCGGTCAATTACAGATCGCAAGTCACGTGCCTGGCATGTTGGCAAGATCATTTAAAACGCACATAACATGTTAGCACAAATCCCTCATGCACATTTTAGTATGTCAGTGAGTGAGTTTACTTTTACGCCATTTACAAGAACACATTCATAAAACTCAACCGAAACAAACATCCCTTTACACCTTAGCGTACACAACACCTACAGTGTGTCAGTTTGGTTTTCAGCAATATTCCAGCTCTCTATCACCCCGGCGACACCAGAAATGGGCTTCACACATTGTACCTATGTGAGGAATCGAACTCGAGACTTGAACGTTTTAACCACTAGGCTAACAAACCCCACCTTCTAGTATGTGTCTTCAGTGATATATAGTAATACGGTTAGTGTGGCCTTGTAACCACCTTGAATCCTGAATTAAGATGAGAATTATTGTGTGTGTTACATGCATTAATATCCATTATATATTAGTGCAAATATACAATTATATACAGACCAAAAGCACGATGTGTAAACTTGTATCCTCAATGCTAATGTGTTTCAGAAATGTTGGAATTGGTCTGGCATCAATGTCTGCGAGGATTGGTGGACTGTTTGCCCCATTTACACGGACTGTGGTGAGTCTGGTTGTACAGAGTGTGCTAGGACTGAGGTATATCGCATTACTTCATTCGGAACTTCACACATATTAAGACTGTGGGTAGTCGAGAGGCTGCACCAGGCTTGAATAATTCGAGGAACATAGATAACATTAAAATATATCATTCATACAGCAAATTAGTGGCCAATGACAATTCATGTTTTGCCATTTGCGTTGTGTCTCCTGGCTTGTTGCACGATGTCGCACCAGGCATTATTCCAGCTATGGCGGTGACATGTAGAAATTATGTACCAGACCAGCGTTTTCTATTCTTGGCAGGATTCCACGCTCCAGGTTCACAACCGATCTGTCTAGTGCCTTCGGTAGCATAGATTAGCATAGGTTGGCGAGGGCAAATTCTAATCAAACGTAACGCTGACTCTTTTGAAGAATTAAACCTTTCCCATATTTGTTTAAAACATATTCTAACTTAATAATGACCAGCGGTTCAACTCACATTTCCAAATGAAGATTTCTTAACAAGGTTTGAGAATTACAAATGGAATTTATATTCGGCGTGTCCCGGATTAACAGTTGGTAATGTTGGTAATCTTGCCACGTAATTTCCCATATAAGGTATAAAAATTATAGTTCCCTCACTTTAAATGTAATACATGATGAGGATTCTTGTGTAACAGTACCGCTACCTGCCGTGGGTCCCTGGCTCTGTGTTCGGCACGTTCTGTGTCGTGGTGACTCTCCTGGTTCGCTTCCTACCAGAAACTAACAACCAGGAACTGCCACAGACAATCGAGGAGATGAAACAGTGGATCAGGAAACAAAGAGAAACTCCACGGAAAAACAACATACCCGAAAACGACACTTGAAAGTAATAGAAACTGGTAATTTTAGACAAGAAAATGTAAATAAATATCACTGAATTGATATTATAAATTTATATTCTGAAGTTTTGCTTCTTTATTTAACACACAGCCACACGAACACTTCAGCGAGTGTTTGACTTTGTAAGCTTTGTGGAACGCCGGCCATCTATGATAACATATTTTGCTGTCAATGTATTTCAGCATAATATGTGGATATTTCTTTGGGAGGTCGATGGTTTGATTTCCTAGCCTCATGTTTACAAGGGAAGGTGGGGTAGCCTAGTAGTTAAAGCGTTCGCTCGTCACGCTGAAGTCCCGGGTTCGATTCCCACATACGTACAATGTGTGAAGCCCATTTCCGGTGTCCCCGCCGTGATATTGCTGGAATATCGCTAATAAGCGGCGTAAAACTAACCTCACTCATATTTACAAAAATGGTAGGTGGTGGTTTTACCTTACCTGACTCTCTATATCAAGGGCAGTACCAAGAACTGGTCGTATAGTTGGACTGCAACTGTAGATTCGATGCAACGTCTAAAAGGCAATATTGAATACTTACCAATTTTAGAAACACTATTTGTAATAATTGCGAGTGGGTTATTCGTTTTAGTTTCCTGTTGTATCATACACATGACAATGGCGTGTTGGCGACTGACGTGAAAGATTTGGTCATAACGCGTGAAAAAGTGAAACAATAATCACTTGAAGTCCAAAGGTTAGGGGAAATGCTCCTCAGGGGAAAATTTTCAGGGGATAAGTGGGTGCGCACCCACGCACCCAACTCTGGATCCGCGTCTGAGAAAGATGGCTGGCGTTAGATTTAAGTTTACGTTTATGTCCTCTTTGAAATTTGGGGATTAATCTTTTTATCGTTATATGTAATTCCGATAAGAATAGAATAGTAATTTATTGCCTTTTCAGGAATTTGTGTTACATCAACAGAGCTGCTGACACATCAGAGAGATACAAATGCGTAACATATTTGCATAAATTCACGAATTTAAGTATCTTCACATTTGTTTAAAAAGAGATATGGTACTCTCTTTAGTTTTCACAATTGGAACTTTGTAGCGGCGGCCATGAAGGGAGGAGGTTATATTCCGAATTTAAGTAGTTATCGAGTTGGGTCAGATATAAGTTCGACAGTTTGATTCACGATTTGCCGCTCATGTATCAGTCTCAACTGTATTGTCATAATCCGATTATGTATAAATTTAGTATGCTTCTGTCTTCGAACGATATCGATGTGAGGAAAGTATGTAAATTTCCATCTCAAAGTAATGAAATGAACCAAACATTATGAATACTGGAACAATTTAATGTAATGTATGTACGAAGTCATGTATTAATGTAGTATGTGAGTATGCACTTTCTCTGTATTTGGGCCAGTGGCCTTCATACGACTACAAGACATGACTTTGACGCGCAACATCTTAGGCCACAACTTGGACCCGACGGAACACACGTGAATGCGACATCAGATTAATCATGCCCAGAGCTTGCAAGAACTTAAGCAAGCAGCAGTGACAAGGAATTACTTTTAGAGTGTTCCGACAATTTCTCTAGTCCATGAGGAAGACGTTGTGTTGCCGTCAAGGCCGCCCTAGGGTTACACAACACCAAATGTTTTCCCATAGACTTCTATAGTAACCTTTTATTTTTTTAAATTAGCCAGGCTATCAACAACCAATCCCGGTACACATGGGTACAGTCAGGCCTTTAAACTACAATAAAACACAATTTCTGGCCAAATTGTCCGGCTCATTTTCCCAGCACAGGAAGCGGAACACATCAACCCCAGTTCAGTACCAAATGTCACCTGCTGGAAAATATCTGTACACACAATAAGCATAAGTTATGGTGATAAAAATGACAGCACTAAATACTTAAAATTGTGGTCAGTTTTAATCACTGGGTGGATTCGCTTTAAAAAGCATAAACATGTCATACTATTTCATCCAATCACAGCTGTCACATGTCTCTGTCTCTTCAGTTGTTCAGGGAGGATGTGATTCTGATTTAGTGTAGTGGAACCTAGGAGGTCAGACTCGTGATTGATTTCTTCTGTTGCTAACACTTTTATCTGTGTTAAGTACGCGTGTGGGATCATTTAACGTCATGCGTTACGTTTCTGATAAAATGATGCCGCAATCAACTACCCATAGTGTGTATTGTTACCTGGATTATAACAGTATGATGCACATCTATTTAACTACCACTATACTAATTCCAGTCAGGTGTTCATTTTAACAAGGGTCACGTTTTAATTTGGTTCAGTATACTAACTTCAAATAAGGACAGATTTGGAATAAGCCTCGTCTGTCCCGGCATGCTGTCATCCAAAGGGCGCAGTGACTGAGCTTCAGGGACCTGTTGCTTTGATATGGTGAACCCATGTTTCACCCATACTCAAAACTCGTTGCAAGAACCTTTCTGGGAAAGCTTCAAACAGAATCTAGATGATCAAGGCTCCTGTAATGATGGAATGTGCACTGAATTAGCAATGTGAAACGTGACACTCAGTCATTCGGTAAACTGACTCAAGTGTTCAAGGATATACCTACATCACATCATTTACACAACAAAGATATCACTATTACAATTACGCAGTTCAGAAGTTATCAGTAAACCCTTACATTCCAGTTTCCTCAGATCAGCCGAAAAACAGGATAAGGTCACCAGAAAGGAATCCCGTATGACACTATCAGTTTCTCTGCCACCATGAACACGAAATACTTTCCAATTGTTTTAAAGGAGCATAATGGTTGGAACTACAAGATTACACGACACTTTGTGCATTGTGTGTAATACAGGAACACGCTGACACGTTAAGATCCGTGTATTATAGAAACCTTGTTTGATAGAGCAACGAATAATAGTGTTAATATTAATATCATGAGTAACGATTTAGACAAGCTGGGTATTGTGACACATATGAATCATGGAGCTGAGCCTGATCGCATAAACCATTAACTTGCCTCCTCCGACCAGCCTAGGTTGATGGCATACTGTAATCCGGTCTCCCTCGTAGTATATTGATTATAACTATTGTACTTCTATGTATGCGCTATCACAGGCTTATAATACATGCACCTCATCAACAGAATACTTTCTGTGTGGACGGTGATGACTTCAAACAGTGACTTATCTGCATGCAGATGCGTTCCTTTCGAACGTAACAGAAAACATTTACCCATGAAAGCATTCTGCTTTAATTTAATATAACAATAATATTTGTATAGAAAGTCAGTCAACACTTTCCAGCCATAGAATCGCCAGAATCAACGGACAATCGACCCTCTCCCAAACATGATACCCCGACAGGAACATCCCACGCGGCACATGAGCTAGCAAAACGAAATGACAGTCACTGCGTTCATTGCGGGTCTAGTGCATTGCATAATATGGCTCAATCACATGCATCTCTGCCACCATTCAACCCATTTTCAGGTTGTTCCTTAAAACTAGAAATCCATAATGATAGACTATGTTGACACCTCTACCACTGTTTCCTCACACACACACTGTGCTAACTGTAAGTACTGTAATATGATAAGATGATCAGCTTTACGGGGACAAAACAGGGACGGAAAGGTTCTATATTACACGTGAATTTCATTAAAGTATGTAGTAAAGTGATTGTTTACACGTGTGATTGTAATTTCATTAGTTGTTTACACGTGTATGTAGATAAACAGAGACTGAAAGGTTCTATATTACACATGTTCTTCACGTGTATCTCCTCATAGTGTGTTGTAAAGTGATTGTAAGTAGTGTGTACACGTGTATGTCGATAAACAGGGACTGCAAGGTTCTATATTACACATGTTTTACACGTGTATCTCCTCATAATGTGTTGTATAGATTTGTTTTTAAGCGAGTGATAAACAGTGACTGAAAGGTTCTATATTACACGTGTTTTATGTCGATAAACAGGGACTGAAAGGTTCTATATTACACAGGGACTTTTACACGTATTACATCTCCTCATTATGTGTTGTAAAGTGATTGTAAGTAGTGTTTACACGTGTATGTCGATAAACAGGGACTGCAAGGTTCTATATTACACATGTTTTACACGTGTATCTCCTCATAGTGTGTTGTAAAGTGATTGTAAGTAGTGTTTACACGTGTATGTCGATAAACAGGGACTGAAAGGTTCTATATTACACATGTTTTACACGTATCTCCTCATAGTATGTTGTAAAGTGATTGTAAGTAGTGTGTACACGTGTATGTCGATAAACAGGGACTGAAAGGTTCTATATTACACATGTTTTACACGTGTATCTCATTATAGTGTGTTGTAAAACGATTGTAAGTAGTGTGTACACGTGTATGTCGATAAACAGGGACTGCAAGGTTCTATATTACACATGTTTTACACGTGTATCTCATTATAGTGTGTTGTAAAGCGATTGTAAGTAGTGTTTACAAGTGTATGTCGACAAACCAGATACTGAAAGGCTCAATAACACATTTCAATCAGAAAATGTTTCCTAAGCCTGGGTCAGTTTCTATTCATTTTAATTCAATTTAAACATACAAAAATATGTGATTAATGCGTATAGTATCTGATTGTCGTGGTTAAACATGTATATCCTCAGAATATATGTAGTAAAGTGGTTATAAATACTGTTTTACACGTGTTTGGTCTCAGAATGTGTAGTAAAGTTATTGTAAATTGTGTTTTGCACGTGTTTGTCGCCAAAAGTGTAGTAAAGTGATTGTAAATAGTGTTTTACACATGCTTGTCCTCAGAATAGGAAAATGATTGTATTAGTGTTTCATTCGTGTGTCCTTGTAGCGTGTAGTAAAGTGATTATAGTGTTTTACACACGTATGATCTTAGGGGTGTAGTAAAGTGATTGTATTTGTGTTTTACACATGCATGCCCCTAGAGGGTGTTGTAAAGTGATTGTAGTGTTTTACACACGTATGATCTTAAAGGGTGTAGTAAGGTGATTTGTAGTGTTTTACACACGTATGATCTTAGGGGGTGTAGTAAAGTGATTGTAGTGTTTTACACA